TTGCAGACAAATGTCAGTGTTGAAAGGGTTGGGACAGGCCACTGGGAACCGCACATGGTCCTGGGGAGGGCAGGCCGGGGCTGCCCAGCAGCTTTGGGGTTCTGCTCTGCGTGTCTTGTTTAATTTTGAGAGCATAGAAAGGAGAAAAGCAGGAAAGGACAGTGAGAGATGTAACCAACGCCCATGTGGCCGCCACTCAGAATTGACATTTTTCCCAGGTATGTAAAGTATGAGTAAAGGGAAGCGTCGCCCTAAAGGTGAGGTGTCCTCACTCTGCTCCCTGCCCCTGCCTTGTCCCTGGGGAAGTGCTCCTGTGGGCTTAATGTGTGTCTTCACAATCTGTTTGCACAGTTTCACCGCATATGTATGTGAGCCTATGAATAATATATAGTATTGCTGGCTGAGTCTTTTAGAATCTGGCTTAAAATTCAGACGTGCTGTAATACAATTTTGCTACTTGGTTTTATCACTAAACATTATGTTTTCATGATTTATCTGTGTTGATATTTATACCTAGTCCATTTATTTTTGGTGCTGAAAAGCATTTCATTGTATGACTGTACCGTGGTTTATTTATCTACTCTACTGTTGATAGATGGTGGTTTCTAGATTTTCTGTATTATGGGAAGGTTGCTGTAAATGTCTTCGATGCCTGTCCCCTGACACAGGCACCTGCCTGGGCAGCTGTTGGACCCGCCGGCTGAGTTCAAGTAGGTCCAGGTCCACCCCGTGACCTCCCTTGGGGTTTGTCTGAGCTTCACCACCCTCACCAGCTGCTTTCTTCCTCTCCTCGACTCTCTAGGCAAGGGAAAGTTTGGAGGAGCCACGAGGATGAAGATTACAGGCATGAGTCACCATGCCCGGCCTTACCCTTCAGTTCTGAGTTTCATCTTATGTTAATGCATTAATTATGACGCCAATTAAGAAAATCCAAATATACGTCTCTCTCTCACCTACCTTCCTGCCTTCCCAGCACAACTGTTCTCACTTTTCTGTGTCCCTTTTGCCCTCTGCCCACATACATGCATGGTTGTGATGTACATAAATCACAGAACTGTGTGTTCTGCATTTTTTACTTAACAATGTAGTGCAGGCTAGGTGAGGTGGCTCATGCCTGTAATCCTAGCACTCTGGGAGGCCGAAGCAGGAGGATTGCTTGACCCCAGGAGTTCAAGACCAGCCTGAGCAAGAGCGAGACCCCGTCCCTACTAAAAATTAGAAAAAAATTAGCCGGGCATGGCGGCACATGCTTGTAGTCCCAGCTACTTGGGAGGCTGAGGCAGGAGGATTGCTTGAGCCCAGGAGTTTGAGGTTGCTGTGAGCTATGATGACACCTCTGCACTCTAGCCTGGGAGACAGAGCAAGACCCTGTCTCATAAAAAGAAAAAGAAAAATAGTGCAAACGTTTTCTAAGTTGCTACAGTCTTCACAACAACCATTTTCATGAGCGCGTAATATTCTGCCTGCTGATGTGCCCTAACCTGTTCTTCCTGGTCTGGCATCTGCTTTTCCTGCCATTCCTCCTCCCAGCTCCCAGCACTCTCAGGTCACGTTGCCATCCAGACACAGAGAAGGCTGGGTCACAGCCCTGCCTGGCTCCTCCACCAGCCCCCTACCTCCTCTCCTCCTCCAAAACTCCCTGTTTCCTTGGGAGTAGAAAAGCCACCAAACTAAACTGTGGACAGTCTCATCATGCGTGGCTTTGAGATTGTTTTTAATATTCACAAATAGTTTCCTCTCAAGAGGAAGGAGTGTGGAGCTGACTTCTTAGGCCTTATTCTATCCCTCTGTGTTTCGAGGGAGATGGTGAGAGGGATTCTCAGGTACTGCTCGTGTCTCGGGGCAGGGGATGTGGGGCTGAGCCCTCTCTAGGAACATAGAGTATATGATCTAAGCCCAAAAGTTAAGCTTGGGATGGTGGAAATAAAAGCACGCCAACCCCACACTGACAGACATCACATTGTTACTGGAACTCTCACTGTGGTGTTGACATTGTCTCTGTTTTCTGTTTTTTAGCTAAGTTTTTGCAGCCCAGCATGGAGGTTTCAGTTGATCTCACTAGAGCAAGGTCCCAGTCTTCTGGACCTCTGCCTTCTCATGAGCCAAGTAATCAACTTAGGGATGATTTTTAAAAGTAATGAACTGATCTGCAATAATAGCTAATACTCATGGAACGCTGACTGTATACCAGCTACTCTGCTAAAGGCATTTTACACGTATGTCTTGCTTATTCCTCACAACAGCCAAATAAGGCAGGAAACTGTCGCTATCCCCATTTGGCAGCTGTGGGAATGTGGCTCAGAGAGGTTAAGTGACTTGCCTGGATCTTCCTTGGAATCCCAGCTGTGCTTTCCCCCGGCCACCCTGGCTACCCACACTGGGAAACAGGTTCAGCAGAGCAGCGATGGCTGCTCCTTTTCATCCCCTCCACAAAGGCCCTTGCTGGTGTGGAAGTTATTTTATATAAAGGCATTGATTAGAAATTCGCCATTCCCTGTAAGTTTCCCGTTTTAGAGGCTTTGCCCTATCTTGTCTTTAAAACTGTCCACTGTGGAGATCCTGCTTCAAGGGAGGGGTAGCAGGAATACATGATGTGGACAGACGGAACGAGGTGCCTGCAGTCTCAGCTTCCTCCCCCGAGAGTAGAGGGTGGTGGGTGGTGCCGAAAGAAAGCTGCAGATATAGGGGCCATCCACTGTCCTAGTTAAGAGAGTTGCCAACCCAGGCGCTGTGACAGCCCCAGTGAAGTCAGTGGCCTGGTAGAAAGAGCAGCAGCTTTTGCAACAGGCAGACCAGGTCTCCTGTCCCAGTGGGACCACTGGCTGGCTGGGTGGCCTGGCCAGGTAGCCGTGCCAAGCACAGAGCAGACACACAGTACAGGCGACATCTCTTTTCTAGGACAAGCTAACCAAGTCTAGCTGAGGGGCACAGTGGACGTAGATGCTTTCCCCTGTCCAGGTGCCGAAAACGGGTGGCTTCTTTGGGTCCACGTCTGACTGCGGTTATTGTATAGAGTAGGTTTCTGCTTGTCATGGTCTCTGACCCTGTGTACCCCAGTGTCCTGGGCTCTTAGACCCAGGCCCAGAGGAGCTGTTCCTTGGTGGAATCAGCTGCGGACTCCTCAGCAGCAAGGTGGGGGCTCCATGCCCCTCCCTGCTGTCCTGGGCCCCACAGGCATGGACGTGAGAGAGGCTGTGGCCACAGTAGCAGAGAAGCCCCTCAGAGTGAGTAGTCGCCTGGAGAGAGTGCAGCTCTGGACCGGGAGTGAGCTTCTTGCCTTCGCCTTCTCCTCCCCTCACTGTGCTCTGTGCCTGCCTGCCCTCCACAGACTGGTGCGGCATCCGCAGCCGGGGGACACCCAGGCCTGCTGCTGTGTCTGATCATGGCGGTGGGCAGGCTCCAGCTTACCCCACACTCACTAGTGCTCAGTGTCAGCAGCACCCCAGCCCTGCCTAAAGAACCTCACCAACACGTTTTTTGAGATTAGGGAGTGGCAATGGAGGGGCACGTGTTTGTAGCTGGCTGGCCAGGTCCCCTTCAGGCTGCTGCCCCAAGTCCAGCCCCTGACCGTCAGAGATGGGCACACACCTGATGGGGCCCAGGCCTCCCAGGGAGAAAGTGCATCTCTTAGGATGAGGCTGGAAATGCCCCGATGCACACCTTCTCGGGGGGCCCGTCCAGCACTGAGTGCGTGTTAATGGCCCCGGCGCTGTGGCTCGAGTGTGATGCAGTGGGAGTGGCAGTCCTCTGGAGCTCATTTCTCTCCAGACCTGTTTCCTGCCACGTCCAGCCACTTCTTATAATAGGTGTGAACATGATGGATCGTTTATCCTTTGGCAGTAGGCCTGCCACTGCCAGCCTGCTGTGCCCGTTGCCTTGGCTGGCAGGTTACAGAACACCAGGGCCACATTTCTGGTACCTTGGCGTCCCCCCCACAGAGAAGTAAAATGTCAGTGGAGCAAATTACTGACCGAATACTTTGGAATCTATAAATATTAAATTGCTCTGGCTTTTCATATAAAATGCAAGCTCTGGTTGGCCCTGGGAGGAGAGGCATCTAGAGCGTGTAGGGGGAGGGGAGTGGTTGCCATTGGAGAGACATATGTCCCCAAGGGGCAGGGCCAGGGCTGACTCTGGGCTGTGGTTGGTGGGGGCGAAGCCCTGGCTGGAGGAGAAGCAGTGGGGAGTAGGGTACAAAGAATGGGGAGGTGGCAACCCCAAATGTGGCTTTAACCCAGGAGAGGGTGTCCTCTGAGTTTTCATTTGCCGTTTTGTGGTTGGGATGCAGGTGGTTTGCAGGCGAGCTTCCTGTTGCATTCTTAACCCCGCCTGAGACCCCAATGTACTGTTTCCTCTGTGCTCTGTCCCCCTCAGAGCCTCCCCAGGCAGCAGGGCTGTAGCCAGCTGTCCTCCCCGCCAGTCCTGCTGCCCCAGCCCAGGCTCTTCCCCTGCTCTGGGTCTCCTGCGCTTGTCACAGCCGATGTGAGGACTCTGCTTGCATCAGTGGCTTTGTGCTGGTTGTGTGTCTATAGCGAATACACTGTAGGGGTTATTCCACTACCTCAGTTCAATTTTGGACTCTCCGCACATGGGGGGGGGGCATCTCTTTAGGATGGCAACAGTGATCAATTGCTCTGATGTGCCAAGACCCTGTGCCAAGTTCTTTAAATGCCACCCCACACACACACACACACACACACACCCCTGTCAATCTGTACGCAGCAGGATAAGGCAGGAACCACAGCACATTCAGCAGGTTGCAGCCGAGTATGCTGAGGCCCAGGAAGGCAAAGTGACTTGCTCGGGTCACACACAGACCAAGAGAATTCCGGGCTCTCAGTGGCCAAGCCTGGATTCAGCACAGGGCTTTCCGGTTCCAGACCTGCAGTCTTAACTACGGTGTCCTGGCCTGGCCAGTGTGCTGGGGTGGGAACTGGCCCCTCCTGCTGGGCAGACCTGCTGTCCCAGGCTGGTGGCCACACACGCTCTCTCCCTTGCAGGCATCCCCACGCTCATCGTGCTGGACCCGCAGGGCGAGGTGATCACGAGGCAGGGCCGGGTGGAGGTGCTCAACGACGAGGACTGCAGGGAGTTCCCGTGGCACCCCAAGCCCGTGCTGGAGCTCTCCGACTCCAACGCTGTGCAGCTCAACGAGGGCCCCTGCCTCGTCCTTTTTGTAGGTATGAAGCTCAGTGGGGTCCCAGTGGGAGGACACGGGACAGGATGGACCTCACTTGGGAGATGCCTGTCCCTGCAGCTTGTTCCTGTCACTAACAGTGCAGCCTGGGCCTTTGTCTCTTCCTAGCAGCTTTGCTTTTGACCCCAATGATTTATTCATGGCTTGCCCCTGTGGGAGGTGTTCTGGGAGCTGCCGCTGCCTGCCTTCCTCCTGCTTCCCAGCTGCCAGCTGGGCAGGATAGGTCGGGCTGGGAGGGTGCCCTGGGCCCCCCTGAACAGACCCATTGTTGGAAAGAGGCGGGGCTGCACACAGCAACTGGGAGGGAGGTTGGGTCCCCTCTGGCCACGGCTCACCCCAGGTTGCTCCTGCTGATCCTCTGTGCTCTGATGAACTGCTCCATGGCTGCAGGACACACACACACACACACACACACACGTACACATGCACACACGCATATCCATCCATCCTCAGCTGCACCTCTCAAGCTGTCCTGTCCCACCTTGTCTGCTCAGTGGGTGGCTGTGCTGAGCCTGGGCAGGAGGACACAGGAGCATCCACTCTAGGCTCCCTGCAGCCCCCTGGGATGACCCTGGTTCCTTTTGCAAACTGAGCAGTAGTTGGCCAAGGGCCGCCTAGGTCTCTGCCTTGGGACTTGTTGCTCCCCTCCGACTCACCATGACTGTGGTAGGATTGTGGCTGAGACGCTTCCATGCCCACCTCACCAGGGGCTGGGCATGTGCAGCCCTGGAGGTCCCTGGAGGACCTGGAGGTCTGGTTTGGGGCCCCCGGGAGAGGAGCCAATATGCAGACCCAAGGGAGTTCTTCAGCAAACTGAGGGTGCTGGCTGGTTCTGCACTTGAGGGAAGAAGGCCCCCACCCAGAGCTAGCCTTGGGGCATCATTCACCACGGGGCTGTCCTGCCTGCTGCAGGCTCACACAGCCACACCATGGGGCCGGCTGGGAAACAATTCTGAACCCAGGGACCATTGGGAACTTCATGGCCACCTGTAGACATGGAAGTAGAAAGAGCCAGTAGTGCAGAATCACATAGCGAATTAGGTGTGGACTCAGAGTGTGTCCTGTGGCGTCTCTGTGCACACGGCAGAGCTCTTGGGCATTTCTGGGTGAAATCCCTCTGCAGGAGCCAGCTCCCCCCTTCCCTGTGTTTGCCACCTGGGGGTGCTGCTCTTGCTCTCGTACAGGTTTCTGCAAGCGAGCCCTGGGCCTGGCATGTGGCTGCCCTGCCCTGCCATTTCACTGAGGCAAGGGATGCCCAAAGGGGGGCTGAGTGTTCTCCCGTACAGTCAGCTGACTCCTCCCAGGCGAGTCCCAGGGTCACGGTGCCATCGCCATCAAAGCTGCTGACTGAATCACAGTCCTCACCCCCTCGCCACCAGTTCTTCTGCCATATTCACTAGGAGGTGAAAGTCCCTGGTCATGGCTTCTCATTCTGTGATTGAGAGAAAAACCGCCAGGGACGCAGGTCCTGGTGTGTGAGGAGTTCAAGGAGGAGGGCGTCGGTGCTGCTCAGGGAGGCGGGTTGTTCCCGGCGGGCCTGGTGCAGGAGAGCGCTGTGCGAGTGTGCTTTGCTGCTAGAACGGGGACGTGCGTGTGTTCACAGGCGTGCAGCACACTCGCGCACGCAGAAGGCGTGGCCTGTGTCCGAGGGGACGTTTCCATTCAGGGGCTACACAGATGGGTGTGTCTGCAGCTCGGGCCCTGGGCCCAGGCCTGCTCAGGGGGTGCCACTCTGTTCCACAAGCCAGTGTTCCTTTTTGTCTTTTTCTCTCTCCCCATCACAGATTCTGAGGATGACGGAGAGTCCGAGGCAGCCAAGCAGTTGATTCAGCCAATAGCTGAGAAAATCATTGCCAAGTACAAAGCCAAAGAGGAGGAGGCGCCACTTCTATTCTTTGTAGCTGGGGAGGTGAGTAGAAGGAAGGGCTGGGCCCTGGCAAGGCTGGCTCAGCTGGGGACTTCTAGGACCTGGGTGATACGGGCCCCAGGGATGACCATGACTCTGGGAGGGCCCACAGGCAAACGTGGCTAGGAAAGGTGTGTCATCCGCCATGGAGAGCCGTTTCCTGCCCCTGCTGCTGCCTCATCCTGTAGTTCTCACTGAGGAGCCTCAGAGCAGCAGGAGGCCTTTCCAGGGCTGTTCCCACCCAAGCCACCCACCAAAGCAGCAGCCACACCTCCGCGATGTAGGCATAGTCCGTTGGCGCTGGGTCAGAACCAGCTCCTTGGTGCTTTACAAAGTGTCGGCTCTGTTAGTCCCTCCCACCAGCCTATAAGCGGATTTATCCCACTGCAGAGATTTGGCTTGGCTAACCCAGGGAGAGTGCTGAGGCTGGAAATCGCTGCCATTCCCAGTCTCTTGCACCCCAGACTGTCCCTCGTGAGGCCTGAGGCTCCCTGGGCTGGACCCAGCAGAGGGGTGGGGGTGGGGGCCTTTCACAGGGTGAGAAGGCTGGCCTTTAGGTGGAGTCACGTCCAGCAGGTACCTGGCCCACCCAGGTGTGGGACCCTCCACCCCACAGACATGGCCTCTTTGCAAGTGGTGCAGGCGCTTTGCTTACTCCCCCCCCAACCAGGTGCCCTGTTCTGCGCATGCTCCACCACCTTCCCACCCAACCCGTGTGCCTCCCATAAGCTGGTATCAGCAGACACTTTTTGCAGCCGCCCCTGCGCTGGGGTCCACGTCCTCCGTACCTCCAGTTTGTCAGAGCCCCATGCTCATTTCACACTGCGTTTGGATCCCGGGAGAGGCACAGAGGAGACAGGCGGTGGCCGCCAGACACCCTGAACCACCTATTCATCACCTCCTCAATAGGCGCCCCTGCTTGGCCGCTGGGCCCCTCGCAGGCAGCTCAAGTCAGTCGCCCACCCAGCCCTGGGTGGAGGGGAACAAAGGGGGTTCACAGGCCCTGCCTTGGGCCACACTAGCTGCTCCACACAAAGCAGCTCCACACAAAGCACAACGGAGCTGCTCTGAATTTATTAAACTCTAACCCCTACAGAGTAGCCCAGAGAAAAGATGGGTGCAGAACAGAAAGGGCGAGTGTGGGGTGGGGGCAGGGGCTTTAGAAATGTGTCTGAAAAGGGGCATTTGCAGGTTTTCTATGTACCAGGCACCAAGCCAAGCACTTCACCTGCAGAGCTCCTTTGCTCCTTCCTCTCTGGCTGGGAACATAACCATTGTCCTGCTTCACAGAGGAAGAGAGCCAGGCTCAGAGAGGGGGAGGGACTGCCTGGAGGCCGTTGTTTGCTGGGCTGGGAGTGCTGGCAGCTTGTTTGCCCCTTACATCAGCCCCGCCTGTTAGCGTGGTTAAATCCATTTTGCAGGGGATGCGATCTGGGCTCAGAAAAGTGACTTGCCAAAGTCACACAGTAAGCAGATAGCTGAAAGGGGACTGATGTGAGGTCAGTGTGACTCCAGAGGCAGTGCTCTTCCTCCTTCTGTCCCTGTGGTCTGACAAACGACCTGCCTAGACCTAGAGGGACGAGGATGGCGGGCACAGAAAGAAGGCTCCGGGCCTGCAAGCTGGGCAGAGAAGCCTGTGTCATCCACTGCTCTGATTCCCCACCTGGCCTCCTGTTCTTCCTGTGCACACCACCTGGGCTATGCTCGTGGTGACTTTTCCATTTCTGTGTCCGTGAAGCAAGGTGACATGGACAGGAGGTGGGCTTGGGGAGCTGGCACGTTAGGCACTGACTAAGCCCAGGACTCCGACCCAGGTTAAGGGGGGGGGGCCTTGTTTCTGCCTTGATCCTGTCCCCTCTGACAGGCAGGAGTTATCCCTTCCAAAGCCTTAACAGGCATTGATACTCATCTCCACGTGGTTTGCTCAGAGGGTGCTGGGAGGGGAGGCAGCAGAGGCTTGGCTTGGTCTGGGCCTCGGGATGGGAATTGGATGCACGGTGTTTGTCCAGGTGTCCCTTCTGTGTGTTTCATGAAGAGTTGTTATTAGCCCCCAAGGAGGGCCTGGGCTGGGTGAAGAGTGCCAGAGGTGTCGGGCCAGCAGCATTGCTGGGAAGCGCTCGCTGTTTCTGGGGGTGGAGGCGGGGAGAGCCATCATCACTAACAAGCCTCCTAAAAGTTTTCCTTTTGAGAAAGGAGTGTGTCTTTCTCAGAAACTGATGAGCTGTGTGAATTTCATACTTCTGGCTCCTGCCACTTAAGGCCGGGAATATCCCGAGCCCTTTCTCTGCAGGGCGGCTCAGGTTTTCCCATTCAGTTTGGAACCTTGTGCATTTTACGGTGAACAGCCTCCGGGTGGGTATGTTGAGTCCGTTTTCTCTTGTTCTCCGATGGGAGTCTACAGCGGGAAAGGTAGTCTCAGATGTTTGCTCCCTTACAAATCCTTTGTCCTTGTCCTCGGATTTCTGTATTTGCCTTTCTGTTTGAATAAGGCTTTGTCTAATATTAGGGAACTTCACCTGGACAGCTGCTGGGAATGTCTGATAAATTACTAGGGTCCTTTTCAGATGAAGGCAGGAACCCTGTATAAACTTGCCCAGAGTTTAAGTAGCCTCTGTCTGAACTGGCCGGCTGGGCAACTTGTGCCCTCCCTAAAACCAGGGGCTTAAGGCAAAGGCAGTGAGCCGTTTCTGTTTAAAAACATTCCAGAGGTAAGTCCAGATTGGCCTCAGATAATCCACAGTGGGGCTGCAAATAATTGAGAGTTGGTCGAAAAAATAAGCAATCAAAGGATGTCACATTTTCAAAAAGCAGAGGACACCTTAAGTTGCATTCATGCTAATCTGGTGGTTTTGGGGGGGGATACAGAGAGAGAATTTTACAAAGCAACCTCCCCTTCCCCAAGGCAGGGAAGGGTCCCCTGCTCCCCATTCTAAGAGCACACTTCTCCTTGAGGGGGGCCTGCTCTTCAGGGTGCCAGAGCGGTCCTGCGTCTATGCCATCTGGGGAGACTGGGCCCAGGGGACTCCCTACCGTCTTTCTTTAAAATTTCTTGGTTTTCTCTCCTTTCTGGTGACGTCAGGATGACATGACTGACTCCCTGCGAGATTACACCAACCTGCCCGAGGCTGCCCCTTTGCTCACCATCCTGGACATGTCGGCCCGGGCCAAGTATGTGATGGACGTGGAGGAGATCACCCCTGCCATCGTGGAGGCCTTTGTGAATGACTTCCTAGCAGAAAAGCTCAAACCAGAGCCCATCTAGTGGGGCTGCGGCCTCCTGGGACATTATTTAAAACTCAGTCTTCTTCTCCCTCTGTCCCTTCCCTCCACCCTTGGACTTCTCCAGCGTGTCCTGAATCACTCAACCCAGTGTCCATCCTCTCTGTGGTGCCTTGTTTCTGCATTAACTCCTCAGCCAGCACCAGGGTGCCCATCCTCCCAGCAGCAGCAGCACCCACTGTGTTTGGAGACTCTGCTTGGGATTATCATGGGGATGGCACAACCTGGCCAGAACTGGACTGCGTTACTCTCTCAAAGTCACTAGCTCTCGGTGAAGGGCCTGCCAGGGCGTTCTTCAGCAGAGCGAGCGTGGAGGGATGACGGCTCGGGGCTCTGACTCTGGTGTCAGCACACACTCAGAGCCTGGGACAGCCAGCGGCACTGCCCAGTGACACACGGACACGCAGCTGGAGCAGAGAAAGGGCTGTGGCCTCACTGGGCATCAGCCTAGTGCTATCGGTGAGACTGTCCTTTTCTTAGCGATGTAGTCATTCTTGGTCTGAGGGGAAAACAGCAGCTTGTCAGTGTGCTCTTGGGCAGGGCATTCCAAATCTAAAAGGAAGCTTATGGGGTCTTTTTGGTGAGAAAAACAAGTAGCTAAGGTAATGGTTCCTATGGCAATTGCCTACTTTTATTGGCTGGGCTCCTGTGTGATATGAGCTCCTCATTCCTTCCTTATATCTCTTTCTTCCTTGATCTTGACCTTCCCCAAGTTTCTACTGCTCATATGAACAGCTCCCACTACCTTGGAGTTTTGTTAATGAATTCTTCCCCTTGGACGCCTTCCAAGAAACTCAGTCCTGAGTTCTCAGAGGAGCACGGCCCGGCCAGCGCAGACCTCTCTCTCAGCCCAGCTCTGTGCCCAAGGCCGCTGGACCTCTGCCGAGGTGTCTGCGCCCACCTTTGGTTACCCCTGTCATTCTCTTTTCTTTTCAAAGCATAACTAAAAAGAGACAAGAAACTACCAGAAGCCTCCCTTTTTCCTAAGAACCGGCAGAAGGAGCCGTGCCCTGGGGTGGGAGTGAGGGCAGAGGGCATGTCAACTACAAATAGGCCCTGGAGCCCCTCTGCTAGGCCCAGGTATTGTAGCTGGGCCTCTTATTTGGACTGAAGTGACCACAGAAAGGGAAACAACAACTCTGTTCCTAGGACCTGGGGTGGAGGGCTTTGGCCCAGGTACTCACGGGGTTTCATCCTCCTCAGTCAGGTGTCGGGGTCTTTAAACAGTCCTGGGCCTTACTGCTCAGCACTCAGCACTCTGCCAAACAAAACCATTTATTTGGAAAACCCAGCCCCTCCAATAAGCTGTTGACACTGTTTTTTCCTTACCAAATCAGATTGTTGATTTGTAGTTCAGAGGTACAAAGTTAGTTGGTAATTAGACTGTTATTTGATGTTGCCAGCCTGAAATGCAACCACCTAGTAAGAAATAAAGCAGGCATCTCTGGACATTATCAACCACGTGGCCTTTCCTGTCCTCTTTTTTTGCCTGTGCTGCTCTGATCTGTTAGAGGGTGGGCAGGAGAGTGAGGGACAGAGAGAACCTCGTGATTTTCATTGATAGCTGGTAGCTGTGTTCTAGTATTTCTGAGAAGCCCAAGACCTAACATAGTCATCTGTCAGATCTTCTTGGTTTCTAAAAGCAAGGAAGCTTGTTTGGATTAAAGCGCCAGAGGCAGATCCTTCCTGGAGCTCCCTATCAAGCCACTCTCTCTCCTGGTTTGACGTGGCCCTTGTTGGAGGGTGAGTCCCCAGATTACACATCACTGTGGACGTTCGTGCTCATTCCCTTCCTACAGGGGAGCCAAGCACTCTGAAGCCTGAGAGAGCCCGTGGCGGAAGCACAAGGAAGCACGCCTGGGTCTCCCTGTGAAGAACGGGGCGAGTTGGAGACCTGTAAACCGAGCTCTGTCCTAGGGCTAGAGGCTTCTCCGGAACTCTGCCAATGTCCCCCTTAGGAGGCGGGCTGGGTGGGGGTACAAAATGAGGCCAACGTCCCTTGAGAGATGGGCAGGATTTCTGTCCATACCCTAGATTGTGATTTTTCAACAGAAAAATTAGGCCATTTGTGATACTTTGGTGGCCTGTACTGAGCTGACTCTTCCGAACTACCAGCCACTATGTCAAACTGGACCCTTGACACCAGAATTCCCTTCTTAGGGCAGATCTGTGGGTTTGTTAAGATGGGTGGGGGAAGGTTTACTAAAAAGGTTTAGGTTTATATAGTGACTACTTTGGGGAAAAACATTAGGGAAGAATTTTTCACTGACACTTCTTGAGCGTCAGTGAAATAATTAATCCCTTTCTTGATAGTGCGAGAGATCTTAAAGGTTATTGATGTACACAAAGTGGGTGGCATGATAATTCCTACCAAGCAGCTCTAAAATACCTTCAAATTCATGTTGCTAATTAGAAGCAGGTTAAAACACCAGCTGTGACACAGTCAAGGGCTTCCGCCAGCAGCCGGGGAAACCGTGCCCTAGAGGTTGAGCAGGAAGGTGGCTGTAAAAATGCCACCCTAGGGTTCCCAGATTTGTGTTCACCACAATGACTTCCAGATCCCATTCTACCTATTCTCACAACAGAAATGAGGTTTTTTGTGGTTTTTTTAAACATGTCTCCCAACATTAAAAATCTATTTAAGAAAAAGGGTGTGCATTCTGGATTATCATGTACAGTGGGCAAATAAAAACCAGCTTCTTTTCCAGGAGTGGGGTGGCTTCCTGCACTTGCTCCCCCTGCCTCCAGTGTGTCCTTGGAATCAACAGCTATCACTTACCCGAGCAGAGGGAGCCGGTAGTTTTGGCATCAGCCAGGCTTTTAGTGGTAATTTTCAGCCAGACTTTGTTTTTTCCTGTTGCCTAATTAAAGACACTGAAAAGCTGTTCTCCCTTCCTGCTGCCTCTTTCCAGGGCAGCAAACTGAATTCTGCAATGACAGACACAGGGTGTGGCTCGGGAATGGATCAGTGGGACTGAATATGGTGCTGCACCGTTTAGTTTAGGGAGGACACACGAGTAGAACGCTGGGCACTCAGGATTGTGGCCCTGGGAGGGACCTGAGTGTCTGGTCCTGCTCCCTTGAACCACACAGGTGCAGGCGGGCACACTCTGTTCCCAGTGCCATTGCCCTGGCCACCCTGGGCAGGCCCATGCTTGGGCTCCTGATAGGATTGGAGTGGAATGCCACCATGGTACAGACTGCATGTGGGCCCACAGAGGTTCAGCAGTGTCCGCTGCAGCTTCTCTCTGGGGGCTGCCTTGGGAACCAAGGACTGATCTGGGGACCCTGAGCTCAGGGAGATCTTTCACATTTGCCCTGTGGTGGTTGTATTGAAGAAGTGAACACCTTACCTACATCGCTCATTGCCGATGCTCACAGGGACAAGAACACACACCCTGCTTTCCTTCAAGCAGCCTGCTTAAGTGAGAATTCTTTGGAGACAAATAGCTTTAACTATTTGTTGCCTATTAGCTTCATTGTTAGTGCTAATGGTCTGTGAGCATATGTGAAGGGTGAAGTATTTTGCAGGAAACAAGGCTTTTTATCTTGGTTCTGCCTCATGCCTAGGGTCTCTCCTATGGAGGGATAGGACGTAAGGGTGCTCCAGGTGTGCCTCGTGTGTGAAAGCACACAGGTAAGTGCTTACTGTCATGTGTCTCACCCCCTTGGTGCTTTGGAAAACTTCCCAAGCCAGGAATTGTGTTAGGTTTGGGGGGAACTTGTTCTGAGGGACCATTGGATTTCCATTAAATAATGTACCAACTCATAAAAGCTTGGTCCCCAGGCCTATAGGCAAAATGTGCAGCCTGAAATAGGCACATCTAGCCTCAAGTCTGGATTCGCGGGTGCTCGAGTCTTATACAAGTAAGTCACCCACTCGTCCTAGAACTAGGATACAATAGGAGACATGATCTTAGGAACCAAGGCCCCCAAAATCAATCTCCTTTGGATATCAGGGGACATGGAAGTCCCCAACCAATCAAGAGCCACTGTGCAGGCTTGCAGTTAGTATGTGCTCCCTTCACATCTCTGCTGCAGTGCAAAGGAGGCCGAGGGAGGAGGCTGAGGCCAGAGCTGCAGCCATCAGCTCCTCCCCCTCCCCAGCCTTTGTTCCCCTCCTGCATTCTGAGGAGGCAGCGGCTTTGGTAATGGGCCACCTAGACTCAGAGGTTTCTACTGAAAAAGTAGCTCTTCCCTACAAACAATATTGAGAGCGTAGTAAGAACAGAACCAATCCCATCCGTCACACACTCGGATGTTCAGTCATCCCTGGCTGTTGTGTCAACAGCACTTCCTGAGGCTTCCAGCGGGGGAGGGCCTGCCTGAGGCTGCTGTCTCAGCTGCTCGAATGTGACATGGTTCCTTGGTTCAGACACTAAGTCATCCAATGCAATAAGCCAGCTCACCCATTCATTTGGCTTCTGGCTTATTACATTTGTACATACACTGATGAAAATAGAGGAAATAAGATTTTGGAGTTTAAAAATGGTACATAAGTGCTTCCTTAAGAAAAAACGAAAACGTAAAAAACGGTAAGTCCTAGTCAGGTCTGTTCCCGAGGGAGCCCCAGGCCCCGCAGCACAGCTGGGGGGTTCCAGCGCTAGCCACGGACCTCTGGATGGGTGCTGATTGCGGGCTCTCCGTGTGGTGGAATGGCCACAGCGCAGCTAAATGCAGCCCAGCTTGGATGGTGGGGACATCTGGTGTTGCTGTTAACCCTGGGGCAAGTGGTAGAAGGTCCCAGGTGGACTCAGTCCCCGGAGGGCCGCTTAGCTTCTGGATCTTAACAACCAGGAGGAGCCCGCAGCTGTGGCCGGGCAGCTGTCCTCCCCTGAAGCCCTAACTGTAGGGCCAAGCGGTGGCTCCCGCGGTGAGTTCCAGGCTCTTCTGGACATCTGCATTTCACCCAGAGTAGCTTTCCCAGAGGCTCCCGTCAGAGGGAAAAGTTACACTAATTTCTTTTGCTGCGGCCACCTCCCATCTCTCCACTTTCTCCTCGGGTTTGGTTCCAGTGTCGTCCTCTGCCTCAGACTCTTCTGCCGAGACCACGTGGGACAATCTGGATGGGTCTCCAACTTTAACACCTTCGAGCACAAATGGCTTACAGAATGCTCTCCCTGGTAGAAGGAGACTTGACTCCATCCTCTTTCCCCACTTTTTCAACAACTTAAATCCTGGAAAAATCCTGACCCCTCCCTCTAGCACTGGGAGAGGGTTTTGAGGCGTGGCCTGCCACCTCGTGGCAGAAGTCGCTATTGCAGCTATACGTCAACAAAGGCAAGGAGGGAGCCTGGCCAACATTCTCACAATGTTTATCTTTCAGTCAAGCAGTGTTTTTCTTGTCATGTATTGCTCAGTTTTTATTCCTATTTACTGGGAAAATGTGAGAACAAATGTTGCCTTCGAAATCGAGCAGAATTCAAGATAGTAATTTTCCAACATCACTCAACAAATAATATAACCACTTGCTCTCCTGTAGTCATTTAAAAGAAAATTTCCCTCCCTCCCCTCCTCCACCCCCTCCCTACATCACACCCACGAATATACAAAAAGAACTCAGATGGCATTGTATGGAAGCCACTGACTATAAAGTAAATGGGATGTAAATTTCCTTTCCTGTACTCAGGATGACAAAATGGGTTTAGAATTATTTGTATCTTGCATTGCTTTATTTTTCTAAACAAGGATAAGGTATGCGATATGTTCTTTCACTGATTTTTATTTTGTAAAAAAAAAAAATCAGTGGGAATATAACCCAGGGCCACAAATTACAGACTGGTTTTATGCTGGAAAGATGTGAGCTTCCTCTTAGTGCCTTCTGTTTCTTTAGCACTTGAAGGTGTTGAGGGAGACCAAATGCCAATAGGGTGTGGATCGAATCTGAGTTCTCCAGCTGGCTTTCAGACTGAGCCTGCTGGTGACAGTGTGATCCTCTTCAACTCCTGTGAAGTTTGCCGACTGTGTTCCAGCCTCTGTGAGCACCAGTGCAGTATAAAGGCTTTGGCCCCTTCTACTTTCTAAAACCTGCCTGGGGATGGAGTCTCAAGAATAGTCCGTGGGCCACTTGCATGGACCATCTGTGTGGGGCTCTTGGCAGCCCCAGACCAGAGTGGGGGCACCAGCTTCAGGCTGCTCAGCCTGGGAGGACACAGCCATCCAAAGAGCATTATCCCTTAAAACACCCCTCGAACATGCCAAGTAATCCCACCCTGCTCCCTGGGACATGAATCATGCTTGATCATTTGGTTCTCCCAAGAGGAAGTTTTACTTGAGAGTTGGGGAAACAGAAGGGGAAGAAGGCAGGGTGCGGGGGAGGGCATGTTTTCCCCAGTCACACCGGACACCTCAATTGACCTCCCTGGAACAAACAACTAAAGGGCTCCCAAGGAACTCAAACCATTATGGGAGCCACTCACTGTACAGGAGGGGTGTGGGAAAACTGCACTGCTAGTGTCACCCTCAACTCCAACCCTATTCTTTGTAGTTGCAAAAGTAGTGCTTAAAATGAACCCCATACTCCTGTCCACCCACCCCCTTCCCACGATACTTATAAACAGTGATTACCATCAGCGCCAGCCCTCACATCCCTGGCTATACCCTGCCTGGCACCTGGTAAGGATCCAGCTTGCCCTGGTCCCCTGGGGGTCTGAGAGAGCAGGGTCCTGCTGCAGTGTTGTGGGCCCAAGGGCCCCAAGCTCTTGTCCTCAGAACCTCACCTCACAGGATTTCTGTGTTCACACAGCATCCAGGAATGTTGGCATTTTCCTAAGCAATTCTGTTCCTCTTTAGGGGAAGAGGGAATTAATTTAAGTACATCCTGGTGGGACTGCAAACTAGTGCAACCTCTGTGGAAAGCATAATGGAGATAAAGAGATACACGTAGATCTACCATTTGATCCAGCAATCCCACTACTGGGCATCTACCCAAAAGAACAAAAGACACTCTATAAAAAAGACATCTGCACTCAAATGTTTATAGCAGCAAAGATGTGGAAACAACCCAAGTGCCCATCAATACATGAGTGGATTAATAAAACGTGGTATATGTATACCATGGAGTACCATTCAGCCATAAGAAACAATGGTGATATAGCACCTCTTGTATTTTTCTGGATAGAGCTGGAACCCATTCTACTAAGTGAAATATCCCAAGAATGGAAAAATAAGCACCACATGTACTCACCATCAAATTGGTTTCACTGAACAACACCTAAGTGCACGTATACGAATGACATTTATCGGGCACCAGGCAGATGGGAAGGGGAGGGGGATAGGGAAATACATTCATGAGTGTGATGTGCACCATGTGGGGGATGGACATGCTTGAAGCTCTGACTGGGGGGGGGAGGCGGGACAAGGGCAACATTCGTAACCTAAACATTTGTACCCTCATAATATGCAGAAAAATAAAAAATATATAAGTACATCATTACATTTAACCAAAAGTGACATATAAAGTAGAACAAGAGGGACCTATAATAGTAAAAACAGTGAAGCTTTCTTGACAGATGCAGGCTTAAGGTAAAGATTTAAAAACTCAGTTTCTTCCTTTTCTGCATAGAGTCCTCAAAAAGATATCTGCAGAGGTGCTAAGGTATGCCACCACCTGTGGAATTATTGATACTGATATATAAACAGTGGCTGTTTTAAGCGAAGGCTACAGCAAACAATCCAAGACTGACACATCCAAGCCCAAAGAACAGCCAG